GAAGGGAAGCATAATAGTTGCCGTTAAATTAAATTTCATAAACCGCTTTCTTTCTACTGCTTGTATTTATTTACAAAAGAGAGCCCATGAAAAAAGTGGAATTAAAAGGATGACATTTTTGGTAAAGCAAAATTATTTAGATTAAAAGAATCATAAAAAAATAAGGTGTAAGAAGCATCTCAGAATATACTATATAAATTCGCGTGATGTGCAAGAAATCAGTTTCGAGATAAAGTACCAGTAATGAGTTCGATATGATTTTGACACGGTCCAAGTACGACTGAATGTTCATTAATTAACGAAAGGAAACAGAAACGGCGGAGAGATGCGTAATGCTATGATTTCAGTTTACTGTGGAAGAACAGGAAAAGGGAAACCCCCATTCGTTTTATAGTCGCGATACACGGAAACCCCTTTTCTCGGTTCAGGGAACACCCCCGGTTTTTTCTACTCCAAACTCTGCATTATTCAAAGAGAATAATCAGATAATGCGGAAAATATGTATAAAAGATCAAAAGTCGAAAAGTTGGGAAATTTTTCCATTCAAACGATTAAAAGGAACAAAGTATGCAAAGATAGTAAAAGATTTATGAAGAAAATAGGGCATGTGTATTAAAACTGTATTCGGAATTATTCCTAGAAAACAATAGAAATCTAAATCGGGACGAACAAAGTACAAACGCTCTATGGCATCCATTTTCATTTTTAATCAAGTTGAACGTCAGAGATTTAAATCGGTGAAACCTTAAGGAATAATTGAGTAATTCCAATCGGAAACTATTCTGAGTAATTCTATAATACGTGCTCTGATAGAAATTCTGTGGAAGATTAGAAAATCTAAAATTCCTAGCTAGATCACGAGATTCCAGGAAATAAAAGAATTCCAAGAAGACGAATTACAGGAAGCTCGTAACCCTCGCGACGAGCTGAAGATTGAAAAATCGGCGTATTCGATGCGTAACGTATATACATTAACCCCGTAAATTATTTGTCTACGTTCTCCCTTCGCTACGACTACCATCATCATAATCATCGTCATCATCATCATCATCATCATCGCCACCATAATTGGCGCCGCTTCAACCCCTCGCGGGTACCGCGATAAAATCGTCACGCTACTCTTAATCAGGAGGGAGGGCGAGAGCCCGCAGGAAGTCGCATGTAAATTCTCATCGAAACGCACGTGGGTACGGTCGATGCTTCGTTGCGTGCACGCACTTGTCGCCCGCGTGTATTGCAGCCTTCCACCCTTCTCCTCCCTTGTCATCCAAGCCCTCTTTGCTTCGATGATTTTCAAATCTACCATAGTTTTTGTGAAGTCGAGACACTCGAGTCCTTCAACGATGAGGGTGCGATAGGAAGGATATCTCGTGACCCTTTTTCTTCTAATCTTTCTAGATAATTACAGAAACGAGTGATATATTGAACGGAAAAAAACGAACGAACGTTACGTTATAAAAAAAAAAACAGACGTAAAAAAAGTCTGAGAAAAATTCGATTTCAGATTTCAAACGTAATCGAGAGGAAGTAATTTGTACTAAAACACGCGTGTCGCATTTTTTCCCAACTCAAATTCTATTCAAAATAAGTCTTTCCAAAGCGACTGTACAACTCTTACAAATTCTTTATTATCTGATTGAACTTGCCCTCCATTTCTCACTGGCTCTCAATGTATAAATCAATCATATTAAAAAATTGTATAACAGTTGCAAAGCTACTTTTTCTGCCGAACGCAGAAAAGCCATTCGACGACTTGTTTCTAACGGGGCTCGATCATATTTCAAATAAATTTATTTAAAATATACATTTTAAATAAAAAAAAAAATTAAACAGTTATTTAGTATTTGTTACTTAAAATTCTTTTCATCTATTTCTTGTTTAATATTTTAAATAAGTTTTTGGAACTTATTTTTTATTTTAAATAAGTCGCATTAGTTATTTTACCGAGCTCTGGTTATGATTGTAGAACTAATTTCGTGGATATTACGAGTTTGGAAGAAATACAACATACGTGTGTGATTTCTACAAAACACACACACACACACGCGCGCGCGCGCGAAAGATTTAATCGCAAACCCTTGAACTAAAAAGATTTGAGATATCCGGGATATTCATGAAAAAATTCCAAAGGAAACGATGTTTACGTAACCATATACGGGGTGTCATTATCGGCGCTTCTCCCATAAACGAGAGAGAGAGGCGTGGCGTTGGAGCTCCTTGACACCTCGTGTGTGGAATAAACACTCGAAATCTTGTGTGAAGGCCCTTGGCACCGGGTTGCGAAACGCGGAGCCAAGTCCAATCCGAGGCTCGAGTGCTTCTATATCTTCAAGATAACACGAATCCCCCTGTAACTGTATCGAGATAACTCGGATAGGACGGCACGGCGTGCCTCGATGCGAAATGCCTGTTTGTTACAGTAAAATTTGGACTCTAAGTTTAAAACAATTGTGTTTATCAAATGTTTATCAAAAATGACAAAGACTGTTTTCAAATTGAAGTAAATACTAATGTCCATTTCTACCAAAGTAATTTAGTCGAGATTAACTTTTTAATCTCGACTTAATTTATTATTTATCCTTTTCTAATATCCGTTCCTACCGATGTTTCATTTTAATCTCAGTTCGAATATTACATCAGTTCTTCATCTTCTTCTAAATTCTAAGAATTAGAAAAAAATAAAGAGTAAATTAAACCGAGGATTAATTTACATTCGTAGAAACATACATAATTCTTAAGATTAAAAAAAAGGTAAAAAGTAAGTTTATTCTGCAAGATTAAAATTAATCTACGTTAATAGAAACTTAGAAAGGGGCATAAGACTAATTCTTTTTATAGTTTGAACAATTCTGTTTTTAATATTCGTTTCTATCAAATGTAAATTAACTTAAATCTCGGTTCAGCTGTAACTCGTCTTTTTTTTTTAGGAAATAGAAAAATATATAAAGAGAAAGTTAAAACGATATTAAATTTTTAAATCATTGGTGGAAACGAACGTAATTCGTACATCTCACACATTTCCCTCCCGTAAAAATATCGCAGCGGATTTTTGTTCTCCGCTCGAAAAATTCGCCGGGAAAAATCACGAGACACGGCACTGCGACGCACGCACGCACTCAGGCATACAAAGTACAAAAACTCACCCACACACCGACAGCACCCCGACGTGACTCACGAACACGTCGCGCATCCACAGCCAGCGCCTCCTTCTTAAGGGGCGCGCGCGCGCGCGGGGAGGGACGCACACAGGTTGCACAATTCTCGTTATCACACCACAAAGTTGTGTCGATCGACTTAATTACCGGTACGACTCAGCATCAACGTCAATTCCCTCCTTTTCTCTCTCTCTCTCACTCTCTCTCGCTCTCTCTCTCTCTCTCTCCCCCCCTCTCTCTCTCTTTCTCCCGTAAAACTTCCTTTCGAGGAAGAGGAGCACAGAACGTCGAAGAGACTTAAGGAGACACGTGCTCCGAAATTGAAATCCAGCTTTGTGGTCGCCCGAGGCTCACCTGTTTATCGCGATGTTTTATAGGACGTTGAGGGAGACAGAACAAGAACGCGAGGTAAATCGTAAAAACGGAGAAACGTCGCGAGGAAAAAAAACTTTGAACGGAGCAGCACGAAGTACACACACGCACGCACGCGGCTTCAATGAGCTCAACTGAACTGAACTGACGACTGGCAGTGAGCGAGGGGGAGGATGCCCGGCGGACGGACGGACGGACAGACGGAAGCAGCCGAAGAGGACCGAGCTCCACCGAGGCGAGCAGGCTGAAGTCGGCCTCGACACCCCGGGGCGTATCGGCGCCTATGGGCAGCGCCGTAGCCGACCGCGCGACACGTTCGAGGGGAGCGATGGCGGGTAAGGGGAGAGAGAGGCACGCAGGGGGAGAGAGGGGGAGGAAGAGGAGAGAAGGGGGAAGGATTTACGCAACCCTTTCCCGAGCGAAAAATCCACGTCGAGAAGCACGCCGCCCGTCGATGCGCCGATAAGCCACGTAGTACCCTCGTCCCGGCAGTTCGCCATCTCTCTCTCTCTCTCTCTCTATCTCTCTCATTCTTTCTCTTCCTCGAGGGTGGAGAGAGGGACGAAGGAAAGGAGAGACCTCTTTCTATATCGCGGTTTCGCTTCGTGGAAAAGAAACTACCTCGAAACTAACCTCTTCCGTTCTGCCCCGCCGATTCGCCGCTGTTAACCCTTCCGAAGCAGCCACGTAGGAACGCGCGCGCGGCGATACACGCACATATATACATACTTACATACATGCGCACGTAACACAGACACGCGTGCGAGCGCGACCATATACTCGCGGGCAACTCGCGGGGCTGAGCCGAGCACCAACGCGCGCGCACACACATACACCACACAAATGGAATCCAGCTATCCAGCCGAGGTGGAAGAAAATGAAGAACCGAGAGATGGGTACAAGGGTCGAATGCAGGGACGAAGGAAGGGAGGGAGGGAGGGTGCAAAAAGAGGGAGAATGGCATGGAAGCGAAGAAAGAGAGAAGGCTGACGAGGAGGGCGCGCGCAAAAGAGATGTATACGTGTCTTGTGAGGGAGGAAACGAGAGAAAGATCCGTCTAGTCGTGATGACAATATATATATATATATACACATATATATATATATATATATATATACACATATATATATATACATACATATATATATATCGAGGGTGGCTCGCGATGGCAACGACCGTACCTGATGTCCGATTCGCATATTTCTTGGGCTTATCGACACCGTTCCTGACCGTCCTGACGAAGACGACAACCGAGCGCGCGGACACACCTCGGTTCCCTTTTTCTATTCGTGGTCTTTTTCTCGAATGACAAAAGGTATAGCAAGACAACACAACACAACACAACACGACACGATACGACACGACACGAAGAGAGAAGAGCGACGAGAACGGAAAGGCGCTCGTCAAAGATAGAACGTACCGCCTGGTTATCGTTTAGACGCGGGCGTCACGACGCGCAGCACTTACACTTACCTTGGCATCCTCGCCGTTGAACCGAGGATGATGACGACGACACAGGGTGAGAAAGTGGAGCGAAGATCCGTGGCGCACGCGCGCGCGCGTGTGCGTGTGGGTGTGTGTGTAAGGACGTGCAACTTGGCCCGTGCGCAGCACTAGGACGCCATGTCAGCAAGTCAGAGGCGCGGACAGACTCTCTCGGGGCAGATACGTATACGTACGGCGCGGCCGAGCGGTACGCAGCTACGTATACACGTATACACACGCACACACGCGCATGAGCGAGCAAGAACGAGACGGTAAGCGCACGCACACCACGCCGTTGACCAACCCGCGCGCGAGTCGTGCGCCGCCGTGCCGTGTCGGGGAATTTCTGCTGCGCCACCGAACGGCCGTCACGGAACCTCGCCTACGCCCGCCTAGCCAGCACTGCCAGCAGCAGCCACGAACGTGTCTTCCAACTCGCAGTACCCTTCACCGTCGTCGTGGGTCGTGGCCGCACCGCAACCGCGACGCAGCGAGCGAGCGAGCGAGCGAGCGAGCGCGACACACACACCCGCCTGAACCAACCAACGAACGAACAAATGTACGACGACGAACTCACTACCTCACTAATCGCTACCTCGCTTCCTCGCTCGTAGTCGCGCGCCCTCGTTCAACCGTACGAACCACCGTGCCGACGATGGCCGATTCGAGTCGAGCCGAACCGAGCTTCAGCTCCGAAGTCGAGGAGTCGGCCGCGCGCGCTCCGCAACCTCCCGCAAGCGGCAAAAGCCGAAGAGCGCAAACTTGTACCACCACCGCCACCTAGAGACGCGACGCGATGCGACGCAACGCGACGAAACGAGCCACGGAGAGCTCAGAGCTCCCCCACTACACCCTCTCGCGATCTCTACCCTGGCGAGCCTCCCCCCACCCCCGCACCCTACGCGGCACGTCCTTCTCGCTACCACTGGTCTCCCCTCTCTCTCTTTCTCCCTCTTCTCGTCCGTCTCTGTCTCTCGCTCGCGCGACGACGCGACGCGACGCGCCGTTCTCCGTCGCGAATGTGAAACTCCCCTCTATCCCTCGCTTCACCCTCTCCATATGTTGCTTCTTCCTCGCGTCAGCCCCCGCAAGGAACGGACGACTCTCTCTCTCTCTCTCTCTCTCTCTCTCTCTCTCTCTCTCTCTCTCTCTCTCTCTCTCTCTCGTTTCCTCTCGCATTCTTGTTACACGTCTCGAGTCGTCTTGTCCTCGTTTCACGTTCACGAGACCTGTGAACCACGTCTCGCTTCTGTTCCGTTCTACTTTGGCCCTCACCCTCGATCACCCTCGAAAAAGGGCACTTGCTTTCGCCCCTTTGTTCTCACGCTTACAGATCCGGAGAGACGACCGCGCTCGCCTCGCCCCCACTTTGCCCCCGCCCCCCTCACGATACCCTCGTATCACGGGCTTCTTTTTTTTTCAACGCACCCTCCTCCCCTCGTTCCCGCGCGATCTCTAGTCTTCCACTCTTTACAAGTTAACGCTGCGCACAATCTTCGATACTCTCAGAGAGAGGAATGTACGTGGTATAATAAAAAGGGTGGATAAATCGTGTGCGAATATTAACCATCGTTGAAACTAAAGTATATATACAGGGCGGGTTGCCTGTGTTCCCGAGTATTCCCTAAATTACCCTTCGACCTTGAAATTTACTCCCGCGTCAAACTATCGGTCGGGTCGACTCGCTTACCGAGAAACTTCATCCTTGGTCGCTCGAAAGTGCTGACCATTTCGGGTGGGTATGGGGGCGAGGGTCAAGGCGGAGGACGATGAGGAACGGAGACCAAAGTCCTTTCCTCAGCGAGGAGAAAAGAGGGTGGGGATGGACCGGCCTCGAACGTCGCGGGGATGCACGTGGAGAGGGATGCGACGAGGCGACTCCCCCGCCACCTCCCCCCCTGGCCGCGGGACAGGAAATTCGCGAGCGCGGAACGCGGACAAGGGCAGGAAAGGAGTGAGGGGAAGGTGTGCGGTGCGGTGGTGTCGTCGCGGGTAGCAGAGCACGATTCGCGCGCCTGCGCACTTTTTTCTACCAGGCGGCGGCGTCCATCACTCTATCTCGATCTCTCTTTTCCTCTCTCGCTATCCGTCGCCACCGTTTCCACCGTCTCCGCCGCCGCCGCCGTCACCGCCACCGCCACCGCCACCGCCACCGCCACCGACGCCACGAGGTCACTTCGCAACGAAACAACCTCAAGTTGTGCGCCAACCTACCCGACCACTGTTGCGTGTTCGGCAGCAAACCTCTACCAGTTGAAATTTCCCGCTGGTGATACTTTACTCCGGAGCAATGAATTCCTCTTCACCCATTCGAGATCCTAGCCTCACAATGTTGCCGATAAAGGCAATCGAGTAACCCTGAATGTAGTTCCCGCGTCGTACCACTGGCGAAATTGCTACGCTGGCAACAGAATCGCAACACGTTCTTCACCCCGATATCCGTGCCTCGCGTCGCAAATGCGCTACCGCGACTTCACGTCGTTCGCACTCCACACGACTGTGTCTCTCTCTCTCTCTCTCTCTCTCTCTCTCTCTCTCTCTCTCTCTCTCCTGCCCTCCCCCTTGTCTCCTTCGTTCTGCCCCTCTACCCCTTGGCAGTCGCGTTTAACGGGACGTCCGTGCAATTTCGCGCGGCCAGACGGATGCAAGGGGGAGCTGTAGAGCGATATACGTATATATATGTAATGTATTTATATATTTGTATTCTCGCAGCATGCCCGAGGGTTGCTCTCTCTCTTTCTCTCTCTATCTCAAGTGAGTGCGAACACGCGGGGCGGCAGGATTCTCGCGAGATCTTTTCGGCCGACTGATAAAAAGGCACCGAAGCGGCCGCCTTGTCGCGATGGACGCGAGAGTGGCGTACAGTTGGACAAAAAAAAAAGTACCTGGAAGGGGAAGCTGCGGAGAGAGACTCTCGGGGCAGCGGCAGTGGCGGCGACGGCGGTGGAGGGGGTGAGGACGACGATGGTAATATCGAGGAGCAAGGGTAGAGGGGGGGGGGCGCGGAGGTCTGGGGATGAACGAGCATGTAGACGGCGTGGGTCGGGG